TATTGAAGATGAAACTCACCAGGCAATGAACAATATCAAAGCGATACTCACCGCTGCCGGGATGAAATTTCACCACGTCGTAAAGACAACCATCTTCATTACAGACATGAATAGCTTTTCCGCCATCAATGAAGTGTATGGGAAATATTTTGAACGCGATTTTCCTGCCCGCGAAACCGTCCAGGTCGCCGCACTACCCAAAGGCGTGAACGTTGAGATCAGCATGATTGCGGTAAAAGAATCGTGAGTGTTTCACGCTAAGACGCAAACGCATTTCCCGCAAAGTCGCCAAGGTACGCAAAGACGCAAAGGGAGGTCACGCAACGACGCAACGGTTTATCGATTCTTAAAGAAGATTCTAAAGGATCAAAAGAAATTTCCAAATAATAGAAATCCCTTTGCGTCTTTGCGTACCTTGGCATCTTGGCGGGAAACATACTCCTATCGCATCACTACCATCTTCACAGGATGAAGTTTTCCATTTATATAGATAGAAATCAGGTAAACACCATTCGCTAATGTACCCGCAGATATTGACCTGATCACCTGGCCCGTAGGTAAATTTTCATTCTGCGCAATGGTTGCTACCCGCTTTCCTGCATTATCAAACACCGCGATATTCAAATTAAAATTGTTATCCGTAACGATCTCCAGCTTTGATGTTGCCGACACCGGGTTAGGGAATAGCCGGATATACAAGCCTCCTTCAAGAGGAAGCGTCGTAAATGTTTTCGTCGCTGACGGAATAAATACTGTAGTCGTGTTACACAGGGGAATAACATTGTATTCATAATTCGTTCCCGGTGTAAGTCCACTCAACTCATACTCCTGCCCGGTTACGAATATTTTCGACCAGGTTGTCGTGCCTGCTTTCCTGTATTGCAATGTATCTGTGGTAGCGCCTGTTGGGTTCGTCCACCTGATAACCACCCGCGATGGACTAAGATGAGTGGAAGTAATATTGGTCACCTCACCACAACCTATTACCTGTATCGTTGCGACGGCACTGCCTTTACATCCGTTCGCATCCGTTCCTTCAATAGTATAAACAGTAGTTGTGAGTGGTTTAAAGGTCGCTGAGCTGGTCGATGAACTTACCATGGCCGGCTGTACTAACCAATTATACGATGATGCGCCTCCGGCCGTTAATGTTTGCGCCTGGAATTTTTCGATCGTCACATTTACCGGTGATACTGTCACAACCGGGTTTGCCCACACCGTTATATTGGTTGCCGCAGATGTTTTCGAACAAGTGCCGATGGTTGTCTGTACCGTGTAACTTCCACTGGTATTTGCCGTATAAGTTGATTGCGTTTCCCCCGAAAGAATATTACCATTGCGATACCATTGATAACCATAATTACTGCCACTGCTTGCATTCAACCGCACCGAACCACCTGCGCAAAAACTGGTAACTGAAGCCGCACTTATCGTAGCCTGCGGAGTCGGATTCACCGTAACACCAACTTGTGCTGATGTTACTTCACATCCGGCACCCGCCGAAATTTTAATTGTATAGTTACCGCTGGTTGTCGCATTGTAGCTTGTTCCATTGGCACCCGGCACAGGGGTTCCATTGTTATACCATTGGTACGTATATGCACCACCAGCGTTCCCATTTAACAACACACTGCTTCCTTCACAAAATGTCGTAACACCACCAGCAACTATATTGGCTACAGGAGGCGGCACGACAGATACAACAACAGTTTGCGTACCAGAGCAGGCCCCGGAAGTAGCAGTGACCGCGTAAGTACCCGCAACGGTTGCCATATAGCTAGAACTAGTGGCGCCAGCAATGATATTGCCGTCTTTCCTCCAGACATAAGTGTAGGCGGCATTGTTAGTGGATGAAAGTAGCAGGCTTCCTCCAGTGCAAAAACCCGCTGTGCCTGAAGGTGTCATT